CGCGGGAGGATGTATTATAACACTGTTGAAGTGCTTGAAGTTATTAAATCCTATCTTAGTAGCAATCGCCTGTCGATTGAAGAGCTTCTTCAGCACGAAGAGAGGGAACAGAGAGAGCTCTAAGGCGGCAGCAGGGTGAGGAGGGAGGGAACTCGAAGTTGTAAGGTTTATGTGGTTGCTTATTTAATTGTTACTCTTTTTCAACACCATGCCAAGACCTAAAAAAAAAAAACGGCTATATAGCTTGGTTTAAACCGGTTTGGACTTCCTCAATCCAATCAAACCAACAGGTTTGACAGTTTTGCTCAAATCAAACTATTTCAAACTTTGGTCCGACCTGGTCGGACCTGGTTTATTCCCCAGCCTGCGCTATACAGTATCCAATAGATCCCGTACACGGCGTTATGGTAGTACATGGACATTTTTAAAGCTAGAAAAGACGATAATTCAGAGATCATTTTTGATACCCATGGAAATGTGCATGGTAAGGTGCAAGATCAAAGTCGAGTTACCCTTTTTAAGTGTCGCACTTTGCGTATCCCCTTCCATCCCTAACCAAAAAGGGTTTAGCGCAATCACGTGCAGTCCGCGCCAGCCTCCAATGCTTGTCCATGACCTGCGACATCGCTCGATTATACATAAAGCTACACCCGTATATCTATCTCTCAGTCGCTGATGTCTCTTGTATGTAAGTAGAGCAATTACAACATCGAAGATCGCATACGCCAATGTTCAACGTATCGAACCCTGAAGCTCCGTTGTCACCGAATAGCACCGATTGGTGTCGTAGCGTACATTGGTCCATCACCACTTACACTAAGTTGCCTCTGCCTACACTAGCTGCTTTGCAGCCTACTTGTAACCTGCTTAGCACTCATCTGCCTAGTCACTCCTTTACATATATATACATCATCCAGATAGCCCTTAATGGATCATGGGATTTCTACTACATGGATTGACTGCACTCGGTTACATCCGTTATTCCATTCTTGCGACATATGTGCGTGGCCTGTCCAACAGCTCATATAGCCCCCGATAAAGGATATTAATGATGCAGTGCCACTTCTCGATATTAGATGGCTAGATACTATTATCGGAAATGAGCAATGCCCCTTCTGTCGTCTTCTCACACGAATCTTCAAGCAAACGCAAGATAAAGACTTCGATGTTCTAGATAGAATCTATTGTCTCTGTACTTGGGATAGTGCCCTTCTCTCCGAGTTTGGAGAGTGCAGGCTCTAGCCCACTGATTTGTATTTTCTATCCCCCGCTGTGAATAACCTTGTGATTTGTGGCAACAAGAGAGACACACTCTACTATTGACAACAAGAGATGGCTCAGATTCTACTATGGATAGCTATCCTGCGGGCCGTTGTTCCTCTCTTCACCACGGCTGAAGATTGCCATGGCTTCAAACATACGGAACATATCTTCGTCCGATGATAGATGGTGGATCAAGAGGCATACGGCTTGTGTAAAGGCGACAGTTTGCCCATCGCCGGAAATCCATCTACCGGTGAGGAAGCAGTATGACTTGGCAGACCCATTGTCCCAAACTTCTGGAAGCTCTGAGGGTACGTCAATGTATACTTCCAAGAGGAATTACCCACGCACGGAAGAGAAGGAGAAGTGGAGTTATACACTACGGTAGCCTATCCCCCTATAATAAAGATATAGACCTTATATTAAGGGGATATAAAGTAAAATCTTCTTTACACGATTAGACGCTTAACCCTATAAAGGAAATTAAATAGTATAACTTCAGCATGTTGCATATAAACAGTTTACATTTAGTTTATCTTCTCTCTTACGTAATTAAACGCCTAATTGCGGAAGTAAAAGTAGATAGGTATAAAATGAACATTAGACGCCATTTATTCTTGCTAAGGTTAAATATTACCAAGCAGCACTAATTAGTGCTGTAGCTTACACTAATTTATTATTGCTTACGCCAACTTTCTACTACCTATACTACTTATTTTTAACCTACTTGGCACCTATCTACTTAATTACTTCTCTATATATTATAAGCTGGCAAGGTAATAAATAAAAAGGAGAATTAACTGTAAAAGCTAAGACTTTAGAGCTACTATATTAATTCCCGCACTTGGTGACATTAAAAAGTAGGTCTAGGCAGAACGAACTATAGAATAGCAAACAAATAACTTCAACACTTTAAGTGCTATACAGGACACTTATCTAGAACTTTCTTTCCCGTACGAACTTATTATCTTCTTTCTCTATTACTTTTCCGGCTTCTACTATTCCTGTTACTTTCTACTGTTTCCGTTACCCTCTACAGTTCCCATTACCTTTTCCTGTTCCTGTTACTTTCTACCATTCCTATTACCTTTAACGGTTTCTATTACTCTCTACCTTTTTCGTTACCTTCTACCGTTCTCGTTACCTTCTACCGTTCTCGTTACCTTCTACCGTTCTTGTTACCTTCTACTGTTCTCGTTACCTTCTACCGTTCTCATTACCTTCTACCGTTCTCGTTACCTTCTACTGTTCTTGTTACCTTCCACTATTTTCGTTACCCACCACTATACTATGGTGCAGAGCACTAAGTTACTATCTTAACACACTATAACTGCTTCCAAAGATACTACAGAGTGCCATTTAGCAAAAATAAACGGGAAATCTGCAACTAATACAGAGAGCTATAAACATGAACAGAAAGCAACATAGTAATAGATTAAAAAATAAAGGTAAAGTTTTACATATGCTACACCTCTTTTTTAACGTAAAAGCTAATAGCAAAAACGACAATAACAGTGTTAACTTTGTAAATACTAGCCTATTATATTGTAAGCTTTTGCCCGTTATATTATTATAGCTAACTAACTAGAGAACTTTACATAATTAAAACATAACAATTAGTAACATATTAAGACAACTAATCTATTCTATAGTGCACCACTCCTTCTTTCTCTATTTTTACTTTTTTACCTACCTCCTTCACCCCCGCTGCATCTCACGCGATTAGACGTCTACTTGCGTAGGAGGAAGGAGAGGCATCTAATTAGGTGGGAAACTAGAGAGGCAGGAAAAAGAGAAGGACTTGTTACTATAGAAATTAGGGGAAGCATCGAATCGCGTGGAAAATACAGTGTTGATAGATGAATATAGCTTTTGTCTCTGAACAAAAAAAATCTTTGAATTAATTTTGTGAATTTAATTTATTCACATTTTATAAATATTTTATCTTAAAAATTAGGGTGATTCATACTCCTAATTCTAAACAGATTTTGACCCTAAATCAGGGGGATAGGCTACCGTAGTGTAGCTAAGCCTCGAAATGCTAAGTTGCCTGAATAATATGGTGCGATTCTGCTGTAGCAGCTGTGGTAGCTTATGGGGACAGATATCGAAGTCCAAGACCAAAATGGCGCATATGGATGAGAAATTCGCTGGGTGGCACGGGGATTGTTGGCTTCAGTAGCGGCGTCCAAGTTCCTAGAACATTTGTTTTCAGTGTTCTAAAATAACTAGAAATTCATGTCCTCATACTATATGCCTGTAAACTGTCACTTGTTCGCTTCACCATCCAGTTGGCCAATCCGGACAACGCAGGTAGTCTGTCAGATGGTTTAGTAAGGTTACGGCGAGTATACTCCATAACGATATAGGGCTACTCAAGGTGCATTTGCAGCTTGTGCCTTCTAGTTTGGTCGTTGCTGTCTCCGGTGGTGCTCGATATGTGAAATCGGCTGTGATGATCTGATGCGGCAAATAGGTGGCGCCCTACTAACGACATCTGGTGAGCCACGAAGGTAAGACACAATGCGCATCACATTTACACTTCAGATCTCCTTCATTCTTGTCGCTTGATAGTCAGAACATTATTCGTTTGTTTGGCGCTAATGTTAACTTCACATGTTCTCATGGAGGTCTTATTTGGCCGGTTCACGTTCTCATAAATATTGTCTTTCAAAGGAATGATTGCATTGATTCTTACATTACTGAAGGTAATGACTGATTAAATACATAATAATCAAATAGGCAGTAACGACATTACGAATCCCTAGTGATTTATAATGCCGTGGTGGCGTTCATGGTGGCAAAGTGGCAAGGTTGCCTATTCTAGTTTTACCAACATGTTCACCCATCTACAAGTCGACTACAAATGTGAACGCAGCTATCAACAAAGCTAAAGGACCGCACGTGAGATCTAGAGTGAACACTGGGGTTCTGGGCTATCGGATGCCTTGTTGAGCTCAGCAAAATGGACTCACTTCCTTCGAGGTTCTTATGTGCAGCATTTTCTGTATAAGGACCGGTGGAACTCGTCCGTGCTCAATTCACGCATCTGACATAAATTTTAGTTTGTTTGCAAGACGGCACAACAGCTCACGGTAACATCTGGCAACATCACTTTAAGTACAACTACTTTGTTCTCCCATGCGGCTCTGTACCTGATTGAGATCCCTGAATATCTCTCATATCATGCACAACTCCTTAGAAAGATTCAACATGGGTTTGTCATCTACAAACAACATTCGTCTTAGTCCCTAGAGCTTTCTATCCAGCCTTATATTACTATAAGATGACTAAAAAACTCTACTCACTCGGCTACGATGCCATTGCAATCAATCTGCTTTCCGTTGGCAAGCGCGATACCGGATCAGCCACTGGATACGACGATGCCGGCCACGTTCGCTCAGTAATCGCCGGGTTAGCAGACTAAGGGGAGGAAGTTATTGCCGTAGGAAATTTCTATGCGGTCTCGTTGTTCTGGAAGCCTCCAGTGGTCTGAGCAAAGCGGATAGAGAAGCTTCAGGAAAGCCTAGCGCGTTGGCTCATTTAGTATTCATCGGATGTCTTCCCGCTCCGATTGGAAGCAACGTAAAGGACATGGTAGGAGCCCATGTAGCCGTCGAAACTGAGTCCAATACTGACTGTGTCGACCCTCTGCCTGCGGAAATTGTAGGTCGCGCGCTCTGTGGAAGCCTTTCAGAGGGCAAACAGCGGTATTATGGAAACCAGTAAAAACTTCACAGCGTGAAGAGCTTCCTAGATCCACTCACGTATGCTGGCCATGGGCATATCCCTACTACTTTTGTGATCCCTGAGCGGGATCTAACCCTCAAACCAGAGTTCCAGCATGAGTTGGTCAGATCGGGAAGGTCACCATTCGGTCAGATCATTGCCCAATGTTGTCGTATCCAGATGGGGTCGTCTAGATTTTGGTGAAAGCTGCGGGGATAGCTTGAGTAAGGCAGGGTTGGGAAATGCGTTCCATATGCAAACGGTGTGGACGCCAAGATGAGAGGAGAAACTGTTTCTCCTGACCGAAATTCACTGCAATGCCATACAAACCAAATAAAGACGTTTTGCTACGTCTCATTCTCTTTATTTGTCAAAAGTACAAGTTTATTGCCATGTTAGAGTTCTCGAATACTTAAAATATTACTCCCTCTGAGGTTCCTGATCTCTATACTTTTGACGCTGCTTTTGAATCTCCACCTGCTTGCCAGTCCTTCGTAGGAGGCGTCAACCAGAACGACCGACGCTGTTCCCATTTTTGGAACCAACCAGCAAGAGCAGGCCTCGTGTGCCGCCATGAAATGTTCGTCCGGTCAGCCATCCCTACACCTGCCGCAACAGCAATTTCGTCCGCCGATGCAGGAGCAACAGTCGGAGAATCTGTAAGGATTCCAGAGAATACAGTGGTCTCAAATTGGTCTAGATCTCTCGACATCTTCAATTGCTGGCCTTCCAATCATTCATCATATTTGACACCTTGTTCTTCCCGAATGGGCTTCTCATACAAGAAGAACAGCGGCGTCGATAATACCATCAGCACAGGCATGTAAGGTGTGCAGCCGCCAATACCTTTTATCCTTCTTTCGGCTCAGGGAGGCCAGATTTTCTAAATATTTACAAATAATAATATTTACAAATAATATGAGAATTTAATATGTCGTCTGGAACATCTCCGGGAACCAAGCAGGGTATCTTCCCCACATCGCTTGCCCGAGTTCGAGCTCGAACGCCAGCATAAACACTTTCCGCGTATAGGAAAATCTATAGTGATATATCAAGCACATGTTGAGAACTTTGGCCATTTTTGAAACGGTCAATGGGATTGACAAACTGGATTGGACTCTCTCGATGCAGAAGTTTCACGTTGGGAAATGGAGGACGATCCGGTCTACTGACGACGTTCGACATGCATATCCATTCAAAGTGAGTCAGGCCTTTCCCCGCCTAGCTCACCATGTTTAGCAAGGCTGAAAGAGAAGAGTCGTGCATAGCGGGATGCGTCTTGGCTCCCGTCGTGCTAGGTATTTTGATCATATGTCGCAGAGATAGCACGATCAAACATTTTTTTCCCACTGTTGTCTCCTTTCTAGACTATTCAATGCCCTTTAATTGTTCCTGCGTCCATTCCCACAGCTGCTCCGCCAACTTCTCATCCTCCTGCGTAGTCCAAAGGGAGTCGAATGCGATCTCTCCTGATGAGATATGGGATGTAGCTATAGAGGCAATAGAGATTATTCTTACTTCATCCTTCTCCTCGGCAGTTTTCTCGAGAAGTGGAAAGAGGAGTTCGATGAAGAGCGCCCAACTGAGATGATTGATGCCGAATTGGGCCTCATACTCGTCTTTCGCCAGCCCTGGAGGTATTCCATGACACCTGCATGCAAATAAGGACGTCAATGTGGTTCTCATTTTCTGAAAATTGCATTGGCGCTTTCGGGACTTAGGCTAAGGCAGTCTGATCACAGTCGATAGTGGTGAAGCTGGTGGAAGGCGAGATTTCTTTAACCTTAGCGAGTAAAGATGATGCACTACTAGTGTTGCGGCCTGTAAAGTAGATGTGCGTGGGATTGTGCTTGTTGAGAGCGATGATGGTTTGTTTTCCGATTCCTGCAGTACCTTGTGATGGAGATCAATATCATGATTTGGGCTTATTTGGACACATGTAGAACGCTTGCCTCCGATGATGAAGACGACCTTGCTGGAAAGATTCGGAATATCTCTATCGGGGTTGTATGCAAGTCGGAGAATCATGACTACCAAGACACCGACCTCTACCAACATACAAGATTAGCTATGAGGAGTGAACGCCTTCTAAACATAACATACACCACGCCTAGGTGCCTAGGTTATAGAATCGATGATGCACGACCGATGAAGTAAAGTTTCGAGATTATAGTAGTACCATCAAAAAACAAGAGATGTTGATGGTTTGAAACATTACAGAGCTGGAGTTCGAATGACGAACTCAGAGTAGGAAGACAATTCTGTAATTGTTTTGCAATCGAGTTAGTAGAGTGATGAGGAACGAGAATAGACTCATCGTTCACCTAGATTCTCCTCCGGTAAATAGTCTGCTAGGACTAAGACGTCCAAGGATTGAGGGAGTTTGGGAGAGTGACTAGTCTTACATAGCAGGTCTCACCATCTAGGCCACATTGAACTCCCTAGGATGATGGCAGGAATTTGGAATTGATTGGTTGATAGTTGATGGTTTGGTGATGAAGTTGAAGACTAGGCGTGACGGAGATGCGGTCCGTGCGCTGAGATTGGCCTGCAAAGACACCAAAAACACCACCCCAAAGGCTGTTCCCTCAGCCGACGTTCCTGGGTAATTGAGCCACAAAACTCCAAGCACGCCACACCAGATATTAAAACCCGTGCGAACTCCTCTAGAACTGCTAGTGGCATTCATCTTCGGTCACATCGACACCAATTACGCGCAATTCTCAGAGCATTACTCCGCAGCGCTCGACGCTGCAAAATACCATGAAGATACCTTCGTGCCCTCTAACGCCGGCGGCGTCGACACGCTCGCAGAAGGTCAACCCATCTTGAATAACAATATATATGCACATACCTCGACCCAATCGCAAGCTCAATGCTACTCAAATACGCATCAACAAAATGAGACTCGGGCCGGAGATAGAGGAGAAATACAGCAAGGAGGGTTACAATATAAGGGTTATCCAAGGTTACCACAATGAGAGGGATGCTGTGATGGCCGAGGACAGCAGCTACGATATCCTTTGGGTGAGAGGAGAAGCGGAGACCAGGACCTTGTACGGCAGCAAGTACAGGCCGGGGCGAGTGAGCGGGACGCAAAAGAACAAAGATAGGAGACTTTTGGAAGATAAGAAGGCTACTGAGTTGAGTGTTACATAGGCATCAATGGCACTCGTGCCTTGTCCGACAGGGCGTGTAGCTGCGCATATCTATTTCGTCGTTCACAAAGCGTTCACGGGAAGGGAATAGAGCCAGGGGAACTGATATGCAGGGAAACTAAGCACCACAGCATGGCTCCATTACCCAGGCGCCTCCACACCACGAACGACCCTCGCTGCAGCTACCGTTCCCACCACCCCGAATCAAAGTGCTCCTCCAATCCCTTCGGACTATCGGCCTCATTTCTCAACCGAACCGCTCCGTCGCTCTCTATCCTGGCCGTGTCCTTTACTGAATACTGCTTTTGGCTAGGTATCTTCTCGTTCAAAATCCTATTGGCCTCGTGCCCTATATAAGAAGTCCAATCACGTTTACTCTGTTCCTTCCTTCCTGATTGGACAGGGCGAATTATTAACGCCGATGGCTAAATCGGGCTAGCGCCACTCAAGCTTTTGCTAGACATGCGACGCCAGGATTTGCCGGCCCCATCTGCCCCTCCACCCCTCCCTCTCAATTTCAATCAACCTTCTGATTCCTCTTATCACTCTGTGACCACTTCTTCCGCCCGCCCTCTACTTTCCATTTGTCGCTAGGAAAGCAAGTTGTCCTTCCTTTGGAAGCTTCGCTCGACGCTTTGATCAGGCGCTTGTCTAACATGACGAATTCACATGCCAGCTATCCTACATCATGTGCTTCCTCAACCACGACTACGATAACGCGGGATCTAAATGATCCCTATTTCTGGCCTCTCCATAGGCCTGAGATTCAGCCTTGCCCGTTCTAATCAGCAGCGATATGCAGCTCTTATATTGCTCCCGTCTTGGGTAGTATTACGAGCTCCCATGATATCTGTAACGTGTCTTCCTTTGACCTTCCCTTTCTCTGTCTCGTTACATCTAACAACATTATCTAGCTGCCGCATGGCTTCAAACACAGCTACCTGTGATCTCTGGCACGTATCTGGTCTCCATTTTACGCGCGCACGGTCGACATCATCCTGCCGATCTTTGCCGTATGTTTGGACGGCGCATCTGAAGGATCTGGAACTTCATAGGAGCCTGAGCCGAGGAGAAAGTATCCATTTGTAATGGTACTCCTCAACACCATGAAGCTATCCCCAGCCGCGGACCTATCACTAGGGCGTTAGTTTAGCTAACCTTCTGACCTTATCTCAGGACTTTGCATCCGGTAAAAGATCAGCATGTAGACATTGTCAAGTGGTTCTGTCCTGTGAAAGCTGTCCGCTGTCGTTTCCTTTTGAGTGATCATAGAAGGGACAATTCCGTCGATACCGTCTAGCAAATGGACAAGAATTGGACCCGAGGCTGAGCGATTATGTGTACTTATGAACCCTCAGGGCGAGTTTTATGTATATCTACCCGCTATGTCGTCTCTTGTTTCCCGTTTCGCACTGGTTCGTTTCCCTGGGTTAATATTTAGCCGTCCCATTCCAGATCGATTCCATCTACCAACGCATTGCCGTTTATTCGGTTATTACTCTAGTTCCGGGCAGCAGCCCCCTGTCAATCATGCAAATCAGTGTTCACGCTATATCGGCCACACAAACCGACATGTCTTGTCAGGCACCCATCCCGTTAACCTCCACGAGGAAGAGCTGCAGCGAATGCTGCGGGCCGTTATCAGAAGTCCTTGCCTCAGGTCTTTCAAGAGTATCACGATGGCAGAACAGTTAGGTCCTCAAGCACACCAGTGTCTTTACTCTATCTGCCATTGGCGGCTGGATGGCGTGAATATCAAGTGTGACACCGAGATGCCATAGATCAGATGGGAAAGGTGTCAAAAGGACCGGGTCATTTAGATCCACCATTCAGGGTAAGAGATGCCCTGGAAGGGGTCCGCACTCGCCCAGGTTGCTACTACCTTTAGGCGCCAGGCCTATTTACACTCCGGGTCAGCTATCCCGCGCATTCCTTCATAACGTTGCGTCCTTGACAGGTCCCATTCTTGCAGTCGGTTGCATTTCTTCAAGAGTTGTTGCATTCCCTTCACTGAGGCGTTCCCGCCGTAGGTACAGTAACATTCGGATTTCCTTTATGTCCTATGTATAAGTATCCCATATATCGTCACCTTTATATCCTTAAATTGCATCTCGACTTTCAGCCAATTCGCAACCCGCAAAGATGTACTTCTCAGCAATCAC